AAAAAAAAAGGGGAAAAAAAAAAAAAAAAAAAAAAAAAAAAAAAAATAACACATCATAGTAAAATTAATACCTTCTCTGCTTCGCATCGAAGCTAAAATAAAAAAATGTTTTGTTTATATTTTGATGGCAATTTATAAATCCTAAAAGAGTTGTTTTGACTACTGTTATTTTTTAAAAAAGATTTTAATAATAAAATTTTTTTTTTTTATTCTATTTTAATTTATGTCTAGTTTAATATTTTAATGGCTGTGAAGTAAAAAATGTATTTTAAAATGCTTCAGGACATAACGAAGGTCAAGTACATAATTGCATGGCAGATCATAAAACTTCCTGAAAAATTTAGTAGTTACTTTACATGATTTAAATTAAAGTCGAAAAAAAGTTTGTCATATCTCATTTAATACTACTAAGATATTGTTCTACCAAAAATATGATGGAATAATAGAAAAATGTGGTCTAAATATTACATAAAAATAGAAGAGGTCTAAGAGACCGCACCATACCATTAGTGTGATTTTTTTTCACCGTACCACTTACGGGATAAAGTCCATCCATTTCTTCACCCGAGAGCATATGTGCCGGAGTAAGAGGCATATATCAATGCCGACCGTTCAACTACAGTTAAATGCAACTGTACAATTTTTTATCCATAAAAAGATAAATAATTAATATGGAAAAAATATAACTGATATTAAATGAATAGTAGTGAACTCTATGATTATAATAGTACTGTAATTAAGATGAACGCATTGAAAATCATTTAAAAGGTAGATGTCGCTTAACTTCGTAAATATATTTGATAAAATAACTGTAAACAAATAATGCTATTGAAGTACGTGTAAAAATGTGATTTATCATATTCCGGAATTTTGAGCTTTACACAAGACTTTATATGAAGTATATCACACTATGAGTGCTATATTAGAGCAATATATCGAAATTCGTAATATATGAAATTATTATGCTATCAATAAAGTTTATTATTTCCTATGTAAATACACAAAAAACTTGAATAAAAGTTAACTTAAATTTAATATAAATTCTAAAAACAAAATAACATATAATGTTATTCCTATAGAAGGTTGAAACTTTGAAACAGTTTATCTCAAAATACTTGTAAAAATACCTTGTAATTTAATTTATTTAACTTTCAAAATATTGTAATGGACAATTAAGCGTGGAAATACTTATGATGAAATTTTATGTCCCAACCATTTTATGAAAAATACTTTTTGGCATATTTTTAAAAAAGAGAAAATGTTTAACCAATTTTAACATATATAGTAAGAGAAATATATAACAACTTAGAAGTATTTTTATGTTTTAGGATAGATTAATTTCTTACTCTGCCCTCTCCAAAACTGTAACCTCGGTAACTATACATTATTAAATATTCAAGCTAATTAATTAAAAATTGTGGTGGCTAATTGTGTATTCGGAATAAATGTATAAATACATAAAATTTTCGGCACTATTTAAAACTAAATAGTAAGATAAGAATATTAGTTCGTAAATTGAGTTGTGATTTTATATCACTTGAGTTATTTGCAGTATGATTGTTAAATAATTTTTGACTACATTAATATAGAGAATAAAAGTACATGATAACTAATAATTTTAGAACAGTAAATTTGTTATATCGCTGAAATGTTAAATAATAATGAAATTTTTTGAATGGACTCTCACCACTAGGACCTATACTTAATATTGAATTTTAAATATATTTTTAATTACTATTAAAGTTGTTGAGAAATAAAGATTTTCAAATTGTAGAAAAATTAAAAAGTTATCAAGCACTGTGTCATTTCATTGTTACCATTATGATCTCAAGCTGGATACTGTTGGTGATTTTGTCACGAGCGCGTCATTGATTATTTTTTTTAATATATAATTATTTAAAAGCAATTATCTGAACTTAAAGTGTTTGCTATTAGATAGAAGCATGTGATTATGTATGTTATCAAACAATTATATAAGTTTTAACTTGGTTTGTATTCATTGTTACACGATGTATTTTGATTTTATGTGTTCGCTATATAAGATACACTTTTATTGGAATGTGTAATGGATCAATTAATTGTAACGTTACTTAGTACTTTTCATAACGGTAATTATACTGAACACTTTAACTAAAGAATTCGAAATAATTATAAATTGTTCAAATTTTATGTGATTTTAACAATTATTAATATTTATAATAGCTTTTACTAAGTCTTTTTTACGTAGGACAATGGCTTTCGATTATTGCACATGTAAAGAATTATTATAAGAAACTTTACTATGATAATCCCGAACGGCTTAAATGTGCATCTTTTGTCCAAGAATTTCGTTCACAGTTAATTTGGTCTTTTGCTATAGGTTATGGCATATATTTCAGTTGTTGTGGATATTTAGAGGTAGTATACTTTTACTTAAAATATATTCTATGATTTAAATACTTTAATTTAGTGGTCATACAGTGTTCGTCGACAAAGTCAAACAGTAGAATGGAAATGTCAACCTAATAAATGGTTAACTTGGCAATTGTACTTAGATCAAATTAAATGGGGTGTCGTTGGTTTAGCATGCACTAATATTGTTTCAGCGTTATTTGCAACGAATTTTACGTGTGGTGGTTACAGTACACTTTACCTAGAATTTAATTCTTATTCTTGGATTTGGTGGATTTTACAATGGCCGATAATTTTTTTATATCAAGTAATTTTTAATAAATTTTTAAAATTTTAAAGTTTACTTAAAGAATAATAACTTTTATGCAAATGAATCAATTTATATTTTTAAATACATTTATTTCTTTAGGATTACACAACGTACTGGATTCATCGAATGTATCATTCGCGTTTTTTGTTTGTAAATTTTCACTATCTACATCATCGATATTATCAACCAACCTCATGGTCTGTAACAGCACTACATCCAGTTGAAATTTTAACTTTGCAAGCTAGTTCGATGTTGCCTGTTTTTGTCATACCAGTACATTGGTGTAAGTATAACTATTTAACACTAATACTTATTTTTAAACATTTTTTACTTTATTATAATAGTATACAGTAATTATAAAATTTCAGTATCATTTTCTTTAATTATATTATATAATTACTACCATGGCATTATTCAACATTCTGGTATCAATTTAAAACCATTTTGGTGGCAACCTTGGCAACCTGATGTAATGTTTCATGATCTTCACCATAAATATGTAAATGTGAATTTCGGTTTTAATTGCTACATTTGGGATCAGGTAAACAAAAGTTTACATTAAAAAATATTCTATAATATTAATGAATATAATATTTTAAGCTTTATTTACTACGACTGACTACTATACTATATACATCATTGAGTGGATAGAAATGAATATTAAGTTTATTAATTTTAAAATACTTAAAAGTTATATAAATATTTTGCCTTATTCATATTTTGTTTTTTTTTTTACCTATTAGATTCATGACTCTATTAAAAAATAACTATTTCTAAAAGTTGAAATGAATGATTATCAATGATCAATGGACTATAATAAAAATAAAATGGACGTTTCGATTTGGACTAAGAACTTTTATATTTATTAAAACATACCTGGGATATGTAGATAATGAACTAGTAATGTCCTTTTACTAAACTTTTCTTATTTAAATCATAAAATATTTTATTAACTAGTTTTTAGTTTGATAATAAATATTTGATTTCATATTTATTTTAAATTTTGTTAAAACTGAACATTATTTCAATAAAAGTTTGGCAATTTTTGACAAAATTTAGGTCATAAAATGTTTATGAAGATAATTTTTTATTTCCAATATGTTTTTTAACATCAATTTCTAAAAAAATTTCCGTAACATCAGTATTTTAGCCACAAAGTGAGTAATTGTATAATTACTGTTTTTCATTTTGAATAACAAAGAAAAACAGTTATTATTTTTTTTTGGACTTATTAATTTTTTATTTAAATTTACAGTGTTAATTACGTTAATTAAAAGTGACGCAAAAAATTATATTTTGGTATTTTTTTAATTAAAATATTATTTTCTATCGTTATAATAAGTAATAATAACGTAAACAGAAAAAAAAAAAGAGTTACAGAGAGAATTTCAGCTTCATCTTTTTTTGGTGTAAAAATACTGTAAAGCTCAACACTAAAAGTCCACAACAAATGTAATAATTTACGGAACAATTTCACAATTTGCATATAATTGTCATCATGATATTATAAATATAATTTTGAAAAAGATATTTTTCTTTAGTTAACATTTTATGTGAAAAATAATTAATTTACTCACATCGTAGCTAAAATATTGATGCCAGAGAAAAACTAAGGATATATTTGAAATTAGTTTTAAAGAACTTTTCAGAAACATAAAATAATTTTCATAAACATTCCATAACCCAAATCTTGTCAAGCTATGTTTTTAATAATTGTTTATTATTTATATAAATAAATTGATCAAATAATGTTAAAAATAGTTAAATACGTTAAAATGAATGATGAATAAGAAGCTTCATATTATTTATCTAACGATATCACTACCGTCATTTGGATCGTCAAATTATAAGAATTTTCAATTTGATAGCTGAAGAGAGGAATAGTAAAGGTAATTTCTCAAGATTATTTATAAAACAGAAAATTTTGCATTTTAAACAACTCAACTAGGGTTTGCTGTTAACAATTTAAAAATTCACTTCAAAATAAATTAATGCGCATTACTCTTTATTAAGGGGTGAAGTGTGGTGTAGTGGACACTTTAGATGCGATCAAGTTAAGCTTCACCTGTCGCTGTTAATAGTCGGAAGGGTTACAATATGCCAATTTAAATGACAACAAACACTATGTCCCTTAGTATAGAAAGCAAGTGTGAAATTACTGTACTCAATAATTGCCCAAGATTCACCAACAAATTGGTTGGCATTCATCAATCTAACGGTTGAAAACAGAACTCTTTATTATTAGATTTTTATTTTTTATCTATTATTTTTAAGCTTTAATAGAATATAAAATTATAGCTAAACAATTATAATCTGAACTTAACTGGCAAAGTATTGCGGTATTAATGAGTGTCACATCCCCACATGAAAAAAATAATTATATTTTGAAGACACAATTATTTTTTCGTTTATAAGAAGAAGTAAAAAATTTTCTTACAGATAAACCCTAATTACGCGACTGCTAAGCTTAAATTAACTGTAAAATTTGCTTTAGCAAAAAAAAAAATAACAATTTAGAGTTAGAAACAAATCACATTTAAGCCTCCAGGGCATTTTAAATAATAAATAAAAACAAAGAAACATAATTTAACTTAATTTATACTCTTCCTTATTACATATTAATAAAATTCATGCTTTTTAATAATAAAAATCATTACAAATAAATTGAAATAAAATCTTGATAACTTTTTGTATAATATTGATAATGAATTTGTTAATCAAATTGAATTTTTCTTAAACTAATTATTTATGTTATTGAAAAATATCCCTAAAATCAAAATGTTTAATGTCACAGTAAAATTAAATTTTTTATTATATGTTTTTATAATTAAATATATATTTTTATAAAAGTCATTTGATATCAGAGAAAATGATCGAGTTAACAAAAGAAAGTATTACTGAACACTTATTATAGCCCTACCCAGTTCCTATTAATAATAATGACTAATAATCACTTGTATTTATCTGAAGTCCTAGTTATTTCTAAAATATGGTAAACATTGATAATTATGTACATTATGACGTTATATATATATTACAGCGTGCCCAGAAAATAAAAATGGGGGGATATTATAAAACTTGACTACTCATATGACCTTTTTTTAGTCATTTTTTTCGAGTGTAGTTATTTTGTAAGCAGTTGGATTTTTCACCTTACTAGATTCTACCCTGGATATCATGATTAAAAAACTAAAAAGAAAATAATAAAATTTATAAGCAAAAATATAAAATATACATATTATACGTTATGAAAAAAATAATTAACTAAGAAATACATGTCTGTCTCAGTTCAAATTTGAATGCAAATAGTAAAAGTGTAGATTCATACCATTATTTATTGTCACACTCAATCAAATGGTTACTATCCAAAATGTAACTTATAAAAGTTTACTGTATGATTAGATTCTTATTAATATATAAAGTATATTTTTTTAGGCCAAATTACATCTGGTCCGAAATATGAATTTATAAAATATTATATCATTGTTTAGGTTAATTTGTATACATATAATTATATATAAATCAAATTTTTGAAATCATTGAAGTATTTTTTAACTTTTTACTATACTAATTTTAATGTAAAAAAAATTAATAAAAATAGTTTTATTAGATTAGTTTTTTAATTGTTTTTTTAGATTTAATAATATAAATTTTGAATTAGTTTATAACAGACTATGTTAGATATGTCACGTATTTTAACGCGATAGTCATATTAGTCTGAAATGATACTTCAATGACCAAGAATGTCTTAAGTACTTGCTAATTGATAAGTTGAAATTTATAAAGATAATTATTTATAAAATGTAATATTATTAATAACTAGTAACACAATTTAATGAAATAATATCAAGGGTACTATAATTTAAAACTTATATTATAATCTTCAATAAACAATTTTTTTGTAGTAATACATTTCCGACGAACTTCAATTTTACTCAATTTAGTACTTTAATAATATATGCATTTTATTATTTACTCTTTTTGAAGTATAAAGCTAAACTGAAGAAATAATCATTCATATGCCTATTTTCGGTTTCCTTACAATATAACTCGACTTGAAAGAATATTTCGGTTTTTCGGCCTTTTTTTCAATAAATGGAATAAAAAGTAAAAATGGAATAANAAGTTTTTTTCAATAAATGGAATAAAAAGTAAAAATGGAATAAGTAACCAATAATCAATAATTGTATGCCTTATTTTGTAGCCTATTACTATCATTTTGTTAATTTTTTCTATATCCGTGTTCTTAATTATAATATTAATATTAAAGTAATGTGTTATTTTGATCAAGTGTCGAAGTTAACACCCATCCGAGATAGCAATTTAAAAAAATTTGTATAAAACATTCTTATAACATTATATGTTTTAATAACATTATAAAGACATTATTAAAAAAAAAATTATTAGGGAGTATAATCTACATTGACACGTCTATTATACTGGAGATATTAATTTATATAATTCGTTCGGCAGCTTGTATGCATTCATTGTGCACTGTTTTTCTTAAAACGCTTTATATGAACTACTCCCAGGCGCCTCATAAATTTGCAAATCCTACGTAGGTCTAGTAATAGTAGTGCATATAATGGAAAAAATATTCACAATGTGCACATAATGTAGTAATAAATTATATTGTAGAATGTGGTTAAGGGGAAATAATAAAATGTGAAAGACAAACATACATTCATGCGCTAAACGCACTGGGTTCGATTTTTCTAAACGATACTTGGGATAAAATTAATGAATTTACGAGTGAAACTTTTATTACCCACCTAGGACTATTGATAAATTGTTTAGGAATTTTGGTTTATAAATCATAATGTTGTATTACATTTAAATAAAACAATAATAACATTATTAATGATACATTTGGCAGTGGTAAATAATAACTATTCATTTTCGAAAGTGTTTTACTTTACTTTATTTTTACTCATAAAAATTTATTTATAAATTACTGGAGAATTTAAATAATTGCTTTTAAATACATTTTTAAATACTTACGAAACAGTAGTTCACTTTTGACTCAAATTAATGAATAAATAAAATTATTATAATACTAATACGAAGTTTAGTTCATAGATACGAATGTTTATTAGGCTCCTTTAAGAATTAAAATATAAATTTACATTTTATTAAGTATTATTTGAAATTTTACCTTAAAATATTGTACCAATGAAACAATAACAGTTATCTACAATAACATATTTTTTCAGAAAAATACTACAAATAAAAATTAGTTAATCTTAGTCATGAAGAAAGAATATTCAAATAGTAATAATAATATATTATAAAGTGATTTCTCATTTCATTTTATATGGTAATAACAAATATAGAAATAAAAATTATTAATTAAGTCCCTTGAAGGTGTTATAACATAGTCAAACTACTAAAAAAAACAACAAAAACAAATTAACTACTGACGATAGATCCTCATCTATTATTTTACCTTCGTCAGTATTGTTTTATTATATCTGTTCCCCTAAGGTGTTATTTATGAGCGCGATTTGTAATATCTCCAGAAAAAAGGAAATAATATATAGGCATACAAGAATAGACAGGGTGCAATGTGGATAAAGCAAAGGCAGGGACAAAAGAGATATATAAAAGAATAAGTATGGTGGAAGGAGTAATGGTGGTCGTATATATTTCATTCCCGTCCTCAAAAGGTCCCAAAGGAATTTTCCTAACTTTATTTTTAACACATTTTCGTGTTTTGGATTATTCTTGAAATATACCGTATTAAAACTAATTTACTGCATAAAACGTTAGTTTTGTGTAGAGCGTATACTGCTATCAGCTACCTTTTTCAAATTTTATGCGTATTAGCTTAATATAAACATCTACTCTATTCAGTTATTTTTGTTTAATTACCCATACACTTAAACGTCATGCATTTTTTAAAGTGTTCAAATTTTTCAGTTTTAATTTTAAAGTATTGTTTTGAATTAGGTACAATCATTGTTATTAAACTGTCACATTAGAACAATTATATTTTTTGATAAAAATAAAGAAGCCAAATTTAAGCATTAATTGAAAAATTTAAAGGAAACTTGACGAATAAAATTATGATATTCCAAATAAACGTTAAATATTGCGCAGTACCAAAAATAATAATAATCATTTGAAATTCAAAGTTGAAAAATATTATTATGTTTCTTTTAATTACATATTATACTATGTAATCATTATTAAAAAAACTATTTTTTTTTTGTAAAAACATGATGAAAGATATTGTTAATATGAGCACATAAAAATAGGTAATTTAAAATATTTCTAAAACTTAAATCGTATGAAATTTGATAAATTATTATTTTTTAATATAAAATTGTAATTAGGAAATATAATTAAGCATCAAAACCTTCAGAAGCTGTTGTATCATATGTAATAAATGTATCAAAAACTTACGTGATTTTGAGCAATGAACATAGAACATTGTAAGAACTTAAAAAAGAAATTTTGAGAAAAATATCTTCTAAGTATTGACCTTCAATAACATGTACATTGTATGACACTTTATTTTTAATGTTTATAATCAATTTAAGTCCAATATCATAACTTAAGTCTATATTTATTTGATAAATAACAATAATGAATTAATCTATACTAAAAAGTAAAAAATGATGAATTTCTATAGTAGTCTTACATAGTTGTGACAGTACTATTGATAAATTTATATTTTATTTTGAATCTAACAATTTAAAAAGTTCTAAATATTTAACAATAATAATAAAATTAATGAATGTTGTAAATTTTCTTTATTTTTCAAACTTTTAAAGTTTGTGTTAAAATGTTTAGATTTTATTGCTATGTAGAAGCGTACTTTTTTAAATGCGTTATGACAGGATAAAAAGACAAAGGTGCAGTAAAATTTTGAAAAAAAAAACTACTGTATTATTTAAAGAAGTCACAGAACGTGAAAACAACTAGGGTATATAGGGAAAAGAAGCTGTGCGAAAAGAGCAAAATGGTACAAAAAAAAATAATAATAATAAATAAAACAGGGAACCGCTTGGAATTAACGAAAGTGTTTCATAGCTGTCCATAAAACAACGCCGTGACACGACGAAGGAGGATGTTGTATATGTGCGTGTGCTTTGCGCTGTAGTGCCGAGGGTGGAGGAAAACCTCGTGTTAAATTATAGTCGATCGTAAATAATTCTCATGTCAAGAGTGGCGATATATTTTTCATGTTCCCCTTGTTGTGAAGATTTAATTTATGTGCCCCTTTCCACTTACTTACCTACCTACTAAACACCCACACTACACTCTGGCATGAAAACATAGAGGTTTTTATTGAAAGCTCGGATTGACCTTTTGGGTACCGGTACATAAATCCAGCTGAATAAACCCAAGTGTAAGCCAATTCGTTTTTGTCTTCATATCCACCCGACGCTTTACTAGTATCTTTACGCCAAAAGCAGTCTAGTGTAAAAGATCTTGTACCCACGAAGTCTAGTACACTCAGCTGGTCGTTTTATTTGGGATCTGAAGAAAAATAGCCGAAAAATTTGTCGTGGTTCAACACTCATCCACCCAAATAATTGAGTAATGGTATCAGTAGTTTTTATTAAAACGTTTTACTCAAAAAACATTTTATTAATTGGATGAATTCCAAATATGAGTGAGGGT